GCACACTGACAGCACCTCTCAAGGCAGGTGAAATTGCTGACCTAGAAAATGTACAGAGAACCTTCACGGCACGTATAACAGAGATAAAACACCTCAATTACTGGGAGCGCTTGAGGTTCCTAAAACTGTATTCCCTGGAATGCAGGCGGGAGAGATACATGATTATATACACCTGGAAAATCCTAGAGGGACTAGTACCGAACTTGCACACGAAAATCACTCACTACGAAAGCAAAAGACTTGGCAGACGATGCAACATCCCCCCAATGAAAAGCAGGGGTGTCACTAGCACGTTAAGAGACCATACAATAAGTGTCAGGGGCCCGAGACTGTTCAACTGCCTCCCAGCATACATAAGGGGGATTACCAACAGACCCCTGGCAGTCTTCAAGCTGGCACTGGACAAGCACCTAAAGTCGGTTCCTGACCAGCCGGGCTGTGGCTCGTATGTTTGCGTGCAGCCAGCAGCAACAGCCTGGTTGATCAGGCTCTGATCCACCAGGAGGCCTGGTCACAGACCGGGCCGCGGGGGCGTTGACCCCCGGAACTCTCTCCAGGTAAACTCCAGGTAAACTCCAGACAAGGATGTGTGATGTCACCATGGTTGTTCAATATATTTATAGATGGGGTTGTAAGAGAAGTGAATGCTCGGGTGTTGACAAGAGGTTTGGGGTTAAAAGATAAAGAATCTAGCACAAAGTGGGAGTTGTCACAGCTGCTCTTTGCTGATGACACTGTGCTTTTGGGAGATTCTGAAAAGAAGTTGCAGAGGTTGGTGGATGAGTTTGTTAGGGTATGTAAAAGAAGAAAATTGAAAGTGAGTATAGGAGTAAGGTGATGAGGGTAACAAAAAAAATAGGTAATGAAAGATTGGATATCAGGTTGGAGGGAGAGAGTATGGAGGAGGTGAATGTATTCAGATATTTGGGAGTGGACGTGTCAGCAGATGGGTCTATGAAAGATGATGTGAATCATATAATTGGCGAGGGAAAAAGGGGAGTGGTGCACTGAGGAGCTTGTGGAGACAAAGAACTTTGTCCATGGAAGCAAAGAGGGATATGTATGAGAGTAGTATAGTTATACCAATGCTTTTATATGGGTGTGAAGCATGGATGGTGAATGTTGCAACAAGGAGAAGACTGTAGGCAGTGGAGATGTTGTGTCTAAGGGCAATGTGTGGAGTGAATATAATGCAGAGAATTCGTAGTTTGGAAATTAGGAAGAGGCGCGAGATTACTAAAACTATTATCCAGAGGGCTGAGGAAGGGTTGTTGAGGTGGTTTGGACATGTAGAGAGGATGGCCCTAAAATAGATGGACTTCGAGAGTGTATAAATCTGTAGTGAAGGGAAGGGGGGGTAGAGGTCGGCCTAGGAGAGGTTGGAGGGAGGGGGTAAAGGAGGTTTTGTGTGTGAGGGGCTTGGACTTTCAGCAAGCATGCTTCGTGTGTTAGGACGAGTGGAGAAAAAGGGTTTTTTAGGACTTAAAGTGTTGTTGAGTGCGAGCAGGGTACTAGTTTTGTTGGGGTTAGGGAAAATGGGGGGCCGGACTTGAGTTGAAGATGGGAAAAATACAGCGCCGCCCATGAAGGAGGGGGGTTTTAAAGTTGCATTTTTTAAATGTAGTGTAGGGAAGGCCTCTGGCAAGACAGTGATGGATAATGATGAGAAACCTTTTCGAGCCCCTGCCTTGGTTTGGGGAAAAGGCCCCATGTGTTTTAAAAAAATAATATATTATATTATATATATATATATATATATATATATATTATATATATATTATATAATATATATATAATATATATATATATAATTTTTATAGAGGGCCCCAAAATATTCAGATCATTTCTAGTTTTTAGCTCATAGATAAAGGTAGATGGGGTCAAGGAAATAGAAGATAGGGAAAAAAGAAAGGGGAAGGTTTAAAAACTAAAAGAGGGGCAGTTAGGGGTTTAAAATATAAACACTATTGGAGGATAGATGGGCTAATGAAGTTTGGCCCAAAGGGGGTCGAAAGGAGGGGGGGTTTTTTAAAAAATGAAAGTGTTAGGGTTTTTCAGAGAAGTTTTTTTTGGTTACAGGAAAGGGGGTGCAGGAGGGAAGAGGAGCGTTTTTGGTGGAATGATGATGGAAAGAGATTTAGAAAAGGGAAAAAAAGTTAGCAAATGAGAATTTTTTACAAAGTAAAGTATGCAAGGAGGGAAGGTAATGGAGAGAAAGAGAGAAGTTAAGAAAAGGGGTTTGAAGAAATTGTAAAAAGAAGAAAAATGGGGAGAGTGGGTGAGAGGGTTATCAACAAATTTTGTTGAAAATAAGAAAAATTTTTGGAAAGTAAAGATTAACAAGTTAAAAAAGCCTAGGAAAAATTTGGTTTTGTCATTTAAAAATAGGAGAGGAGAGTTTTTAAAATGGAGAGTTAGAGGAAAGGGGAAAGAGGAAGGAATTTTTTTGAGGAATTTTTTAAATGTTGATAAAGATGGGGAAAAGCTGTGTTTTGTTATAGGGCAAGGGGGAAATTAACACCCTTGAAAGGAGTGAGGGACCCTTTTGGGGTTTTGGGGGAATTTTCCGTGAGGCAGTGGGAAAAATTAAAGGGGGGGTTAAGGCACCCGGGATTGAGGGAAAAAGATAGAAATTTTTAAAAGCAGGTGGGGTTTTTATTTTTGGGAGTGGTTGGTGCAATTATTTAATAAATGATGGAAGAGGGAAAAAGGTCCCAGGGATGGGCAGAGGGCATGCATATTTTTCCTTTGTAAAAAGGGCCCGGGGGGGAAAAAAAAGAGAGGGCAAAAATTATGGGGGGGATAAGTCTTTTGAGGTACCTGGTAAAGGTATGGTAGAGTTTTTAATTGAAAAATTTTAAGAGTAAGACGGAGAAAGGATAGCAGATGAAACAAGGAGGCTTTGGGAAAAGGGTTGGGGGATGTGTGGACCAGGTGTTTACGGGAAACCCCTATAATAAAACAGTATTTAGAAAGGCCTAAAGGGGCCCGGGTGTGGCATTTAGGGTTTGGAAAAGGCGTATGACAGGGTGGATAGGGGGCAATGTGGCAGATGTTGCAAGTGTATGGTGTAGGAGGTAGGTTACTGAAAGCAGTGAGAGTTTTTACGAGGATAGTGAGGCTCAAGTTAGAGTATGTAGGAAAGAGGGAAATTTTTTCCCAGTAAAAGTAGGCCTTAGACAAGGATGTGTGATGTCACTGGTTGTTAATATATTTATAGATGGGGTTGTAAGAGAAGTAATGCGAGGGTCTTGGCAAGAGGCGTGGGAGTTAAAAGATAAAGATCCACACAAGTGGGAGTTGTCACAGCTGTCTTTGCTGATGACACTGTGCTCTTGGAGATTCTGAAGAGAAGTTGCAGAGATGGTGGATGAATTTGGTAGGGTAGGTTGCAAAAGAAGAAAATTAAAGGTGAATACAGGAAAGAGTAAGGTTATGAGGATAACAAAAAGATTAGGTGATGAAAGATTGGATATCAGATTGGAGGGAGAGAGTATGGAGGAGGTGAACGTATTCAGATATTTGGGAGTGGACGTGTCAGCGGATGGGTCTATGAAATGAGTGTGAATCATAGAATTGATGAGGGAAAAGAGTGAGTGTGTGCACTTTGGAGTCTGTGGAGACAAAGAACTTTGTCCTTGGAGGCAAAGAGGGGAATGTATGAGAGTATAGTTTTACCAACGCTCTTATATGGGTGTGAAGCGTGGGTGATGAATGTGTGCAGCGAGGAGAAGGCTGGAGGCAGTGGAGATGTCATGTCTGAGGGCAATGTGTGGTGTGAATATAATGCAGAGAATTCGTAGTTTGGAAGTTAGGAGGAGGTGCGGGATTACCAAAACTGTTGTCCAGAGGGCTGAGGAAGGGTTGTTGAGGTGGTTCGGACATGTAGAGAGAATGGAGCGAAAGAATGACTTCAAGAGTGTATCAGTCTGTAGTGGAAGGAAGGCGGGGTAGGGGTCGGCCCTGGAAGGTTGGAGGGAGGGGGTAAAGGAGGTTTTGTGTGCGAGGGGCTTGGACTTCCAGCAGGCATGCGTGAGCGTGTTTGATAGGAGTGAATGGAGACAAATGGTTTTTAATACTTGACGTGCTGTTGGAGTGTGAGCAAAGTAACATTTATGAAGGGATTCAGGGAAACCGGCAGGCCGGACTTGAGTCCTGGAGATGGGAAGTACGTGCCTGCACTCTGAAGGAGGGTGTTAATGTTGCAGTTTAAAAACTGTAGTGTAAAGCACCCTTCTGGCAAGACAGTGATGGAGTGAATGATGGTGAAAGTTTTTCTTTTTCGGGCCACCCTGCCTTGGTGGGAATCGGCCGGTGTGATAATAAAAAAAATAAAATATATATGAAAATGAAAATGTTTATTACCCTGCAAAGCTTACAATGTGTGGTCTACATATTATAAAATATTAATTACAAAGGCCTCTAGCATACCTAGGCATTTCGGGCAGAAGAGATGGATATGAACCCTAGTGGGCTTAGAGCTTAGTTATGATTGTAACAGTGTGGATATATAAAGGGTCTGGAATTCATTCCTGTAAATATAAAAGAAACACTACCTGTTTATAAATTCAAGTCTCTTCTCAAAGTTCACTTACTCACTCAAAACCAAATAAATACTGAATAACTGAACCATATAAATTGTATATCCTAAATGTTACTCACAATTATATCACACAAATGTTAAACCTAACTTTGTTATTTTTTTTTAAATACAATACCTAACAGAATACTCCATTCTACTGAATGAACAGCAATGCATGCAACCATAGGACCTGTCTTTGTAATACTCATTTGTATTTTATAGTTCTGTTTACAATAATGTCTTATCACTGATTTCATCATTGCTTAGTTAATCTTAAGTTAATTTTAAGCCAGCCCGTAATGCTATGCATATACGTGGCTTTGGCATGCTGCTCTTACCTGTATTTTTTGTACCTCTGTTTGTATGCTAAAATTTCTAAATAAATAAATAAATAAATAATTATACGTATGTCAAGGCTGTAGGTATATAGAGGGTGTGAGTGAGCGGAGGCAGACAGTGCGCACTGAGCGACCCAGGAAGATGGAGGGTAAGGCTTATCTCACCGAGGAATCATCTTACCAACGCCTCCAAGATTATTACAATGCCAGTGGCAGCAAGATTAATATCCTTAAGATGTTCAACGAGGATCCCGACAGGTTCAACAAATACAGGTAAATATATCGGGCCATTTTTTTTTTCCACCGCCACGTCAAAAATTTTGACATTCATTGGGAGCCCTAAATTTGTATGGGGTTATACAGTCTGGATATATGAGAGAGTTATATTTGCTCCAAGGATGGGGAGGATAGCTCCAGTTCTGAGGATCACGAGCATTTCCTGGTCATTAATCTCCCAGGGTGGTTGGTACACCGGCAAACATTGACAGTTGTTAAGAGGGATCTCAAGTGACATTTAATTTAGGTCTATTCTCACCGAGTTATTGTAGTTTTTGTGCAGTTTGATGATTAAATGAAGCGGCTTGAGAGAATGAGATGAAATAAGTGTAGATAGCAGCTCCTTCAGCAGTCACCTTCAGGGTGTCCTTGACCGTCCTTGGAAATACCGGCTGATAATGACTCCTTCAACATAAATATTTTTGTTTGAATGTTTTCCTATAAATGTAATAATGATATTAGTATTTTTTAAGCTACATCAAGGAATTTTATTCGGCAATGAAGCTCATTACAAATAGTTACTCTTGATTACATTGACGTAAGATATAGCAGGTAAAGGGTTCTGGATCCAGGAAATTGGAGTTAACTTCTATTTTCATGGGTGAGATCTGATTACCTCGTTCTCCAGATGCTGTGTGACCCCCAGTGGCAATAAGTCACTTTTATTTTTGGACGGTTATCCTAGGTAATTTACACATACGTTACTATGTATGATAATTTGTGTAACTATTTATATGTATCTGTACCAGAATAAACTTACACTTCTCTATAAATTTACTACAACTATATATAGCTGTATGTAAAGTGACTACATATGTATACTGTAGTGTAACTATATAATGTACAGCCCCTTCAGAGCCTGTCATTATTATTATTATTATAATCATGGGGAGCGCTAAACCCGTAGGATTATACAGCACCTGTGGGGGGGGGGGGTGGAAGGAAGGTATTCAGGCTCAATTCAGGGAACTGGAGTACAGATCCAGTTCCTAAGATCAAGAGCCCCTCACCAGCATCAAGGAACATCCCTTGAGGGGAGAGCCTGTCATAGCATGAGCTAGTTCAGGAAGAGATCCAGAAGATACCTAATGAATGTAGCTAGAGTAAGGGAGGAAATTGACTTGTATAGCTAACATACATGTATCTATTACTGTGATCTGATCCTCTTCAATGCTAATGTAAATAACTTAGTTTACATTATTCATATTATATCTCCTTTTATTGTAACTGCTTTTTGCATAGTTGGGTTACTTAGCTTTTTTAACTTTTAAGGTGTAAATAATAAGATATTACAAAGACCCCAGTGGAAACTAGTCATATATGCTGCTACATATGATAATTTATGTAACTGTATTTATGTGTACCTATACTACGTACCTGGATAAGCTTAATTATGTACTTACTAAAAGAGAAAGCACATGAATCAACGAAGGTTACTATGATTAGCACTCGTGGTTTGTGTATGCAAACATTAAAATAGTATTAGCCTAAAATTGTTTTAAATGAATAAAATTCTTCATATCTGAAATACCTATTGCAGTGTTACCTTGGCAACCCCAGATGATGGCAGTATTTTGTTTGACTACAGTAAAAATCGCATCAATGAAGAAGTTTTTAAGCTTCTGATGGATTTGGTAAGTTTACATGCTTTGTTTGTTAATACAGTATTAGCTTAGCTAATGTAATAATTGCTAGCCTACTCAGCTCACACACTGAAGTCCGGGGGGGTTGATCCCCGGTACAGGTTGAAACATGAGGACGTGTTTCCTTGAGTCACCTAATGTCCATGTTCACCTATCGGTAAAATAGGGTACTGTACCTGACTTTTAGTCGACTGGTGTGAGTCACATCCTGGGACAAAATTGACCTAATTTGCCCAAAATGCTCTGCATAACAAGGGGTTGTCTGTATAGTAGTATGTCATGAATGTCAGCTAGGCCTTTATACCTTGTACATTTTTTTTTTTTTCATGTCGGCCGCTTCGTACCGAGGCAGGGTGACCCAAAAAGAAAGAAAAACCCAAAAAGAAAGAAAAAACTTTCATCATCATTCAACACTTTCACCATCACTCGTACATAATCACTGTCTTTTCAGAGGCGCTCAGATACATCAGTTTAGACGTCCCTCCAAACTGCCAATATCCTAAACCCCTCCTTTAAAGTGCAGGCATTGTATGTACTTCCCATTTCCAGGACTGAAGTCTGGCTAACCAGTTTCCCTGAACTCCTTCACAAAATATTACCCTGCTCACACTCCAACTGCTCGTCAGGTCCCAAAAAAATCCGTCTCCATTCACTCCTATCTAACATGCTCACACACATTTGCTGGAAGTCCAAGTCCCTCACCCACTAAACCTCCTTTACCCTTTCTCTCCAACCTTTTCGGGGACAACCCCTACCCTGCCTTCCTTCCCCAATAGATTTATACGCTCTCCAAGTCATTCTACGTACTTTCTTTCATTCTCTCTAAATGACCAAACCACCTCAACATGTAGAAATAAAGATTATTATTATTATTGTTATTATTTATTATTATTATTCTGTTTTAATTTTGCTTAAAGCAACAAGATCAGAACTGTGCAAGGTGCTGCCTTGAGATCATTGTTTAATTTTTCATACAATTCTCAAAAAATATAAAATCCAGTATTGTAGCACTTACTGCCTTCTATTTGATCCCATTTTGTTATTCTACCACTGAAGAAAAGCTTTTCAGTATATCCTATTCAGTTTATAGCTGTGGCTTTTATTGTTATTGCTGAGACGGTTATTTTCTGATATATAATCTTACATGTACTATCATGTCTTTCCTATTTTTGGCAAGTGACAGCCATTTTTATTTTTGGAATTCATATTTAATAGCTCTGGACCTTTTCTGTATTCATATTTTTTATGTGTAGATACCACTGCATACAGTGCTTCAGTTTTGGCCTAGCATACATTGTGAACAGTTTTTGTATTTTAAGATTTTTCCATACATATATCTGAGGGCTAATTTGACATGTCATCATAGTTTGAGTTAAGCACCATTAAATTTATGATCTTTCAATAACAGCTTTCTCTGTGATTACTGTACTTGAAGATCCCCCTCTCTTTGCATCACCTTTAGTATTTTTTCCCAGAGTACACTTCGTCAGTATGGGAATATATGTGAATCCATATTGCAACATTCATTCATCTTACCTCAAATAACTAAAATGCAATATGTTGTAGTAAAAAAACAAGGTGTACCTTTATCCATTGGTTCTGATGAGTGCCAGCTTTGAGTCTAAATCACTTTAAATGCAATTGTACCTGGCCTTACTTGGGCTTCAGGGTAAGTATTACCAGTAATTCATTTTGCATATTATTCGGCCTTTAGTTCATTGGTTAAGAAATAAAGAAATAGTGAAATGAGTAGCAGACTATGCAAGTAGAAAGGGCTCATCATTTTTGATAGCGTATGTAATCAAAGATGCCATAGTTATCTGTTTTGAATTTTTAATGATATTCATTATGTAGCTAAGATTTCATTTTTATATTGGATTTAATTATGTTGCCTAGAAATAGGATTTTCTAATTATGCAAGGTGTTTTGCCATATTTGATATACTATGGTATTGCTGTGGCATACTATGATATATCACTAGTTAACCCTAAGATTTAATGTTATTTTTTTTTTTTCAGGCACGAGCTCGCAAGATTGAGGCATCTCGAGATGCAATGTTTTCAGGAGAGAAGATTAATTTTACTGAGGACAGGGCAGTGTTGCACATAGCACTGCGTAACCGGTCTAATAATTCAATAATTGTCAATGGAGAGGATGTGATGCCAGAAGTCAATGCTGTTCTTGCTCATATGAAGGATTTTTGTGAAAAGGTATGACACTTGTATGCCTATAGTTTTGTATGCATTCACATAGGCACATGTAAACATTCACCTACAAAAAAATCATTATACAGTACTTAATACAGTGGTACCCTGAGTTTTGGCCATAATTCGTTCCAGAAAGCTGTTCGTGTGCCATTACCGAACGAACTTGTTTCCATAAGGAATAACGTAAATTAGATTAGTCCATTTCAGACCCCCAAAAATACACTTACGAAAGCGCTTACATAATTGTTTGAGGAGGGAGCTGTACGAAACTCAGGGTACCATTGAGTATTTGGAAATCCTGCTGATTGCCATGACATTTAATTTTTGGCAATACAGTTTGGCAGTGTAGTTTATCTGCTGTGTATTTTGCATCAACTTTTTTTTTTATCTTTTTATCTGCTCTTGAGATATCTCCACCATTTACTGGAAAAATATAAAACAATTCAGTATCCATGAAAATTCAATAAATAGAATTCATTTATGTATGTACATGGGTTTGATTTGTTTGCTCTGTAAATTTTGTATAGCTCTTTGTTATACATACTATTTCAGACCAAGCTAAACTAAGAATACCTGTTATGAGCCACCTGACGACCCATCTCCAGTGTGCCACTAACCATAATTCAGTCAAATTTTCCTCTTGAATCAACTTTATGCATCATACTGCACAACCTCTCCTCACTTAGCGACTTGGACTTACGGTGGGCTGTCTGACCAGTATTTATACCTAAATAATGTATATTAGAGCTGATTTCCTCTATTCTGTTTATTTCAATGTATGTATAGTACACTACTGTATAAACATTTAAAAATATACCAGGAATGTTATAAATGGTACAGAGGTGACATTAAAACAATATCAAAGATGGCCAATCCAAACCCACTACCATTAGAGTGTGCTCTTCACTTAGCAACAAATTCGTTTAACCCTTTCAGGGTCACCAGGCCCTCTCCGAGACTTATTCTCAGGGTCCCCAAATTTATAAAAAAAAAAAAAAAAAAAATGTATGAAAAGATAGAGAATCTTTTCCCGATCATAATGACACCAAAAGTATGAAATTTGATGGAAAACTTAAGGAATTATGCTCTCGCGAAGTTAGCAGTCTCGACGATGTTTACGCATCAGCGATTTTGCCCACTTTGAGCTCTATTTTCAGCCAATTCCAGTGTACTAGTCAACAAAAATCATAACTATTTCGCTAGAACTCCATTTTTTCTATCGCACGAGTACAAGAAACCACCCATTTACCGATTTTAACTATCCAATAAAGTGGTCAGAATTTAGCAATTTTGCCAATTTCACACAAATTTCAAAAGATGCCAATTTCCAAATAGGGTCCAGAATAAATAAGAAAGACATTCCTGGCACTAAAATAAGTTCTCTGTTTGTTAGTCACATCCCAAAGCCCCTCTTACATTCTTTTGTTTTCCACTTTGAATTTTTATTCTTACAAAAAATAGAAGATTTACTGTTACGCAGACTACTGCATTAGTGTAGAAATGGTATAAATAATAGCAGCGCACTTGTGAAAGACTATTAGACTCGCCAGTTCACGTGTATTGGACGCTTGGCATGATTTGTTTACTCTTGAACTTTGGTAAAAATCGAACATTTCTGCTACTTTGAGCTCAATTTCAAGGTACTTTTCATTGTAAAACCAGTAAAAATCATATCAATTTCTGTAATATGTCTTCCATTCTATAAAATAAGACCAGGAAAACTAGAATACAACAATAAATACCATACGAAAATACAGTGCAAAGTCGCTGTTTTAATCCAAAAACACGGTCAAAGTTTTTTTTTTCTCATTACACACTGTGCTGCAGGATTTTTTTTTTATACTGCGCACACTGACCACATAGACCCATTCTTTCGTATGTAGGCCTACCAGCTTTCACTAGATTTGAGGGTGCTAGAATTTAGGTGTACTAGTACGTCAAAACCCCTGGGGCATAAGCCGTACTAGTACGGCTGAAACCCTGAAAGGGTTAACGATGTGGTCTTAGGAACGGAACTCCGTCATTAACCTTTTCACTGTTGAGACCCCTGCTCACAAACTTGCTCTCAGTGTTGAAGAATTAAAAAAAAAAATTATTTTTTTATGAAATGATAGAGAATCTTTTTCTAATGGTAATGATACCAAAAGTAGGAAATTTGATGGAAAAGTTACGGCATTACACTCATGCGAAATTAGCGGTCACTGCGATATACATGCATCAGCAATTTCACCCAACTTGAGTCCTATTTTCAGCCAATTCCATTGTTCCAATTGACCAAATTCATAGCTATTTCACTACAACTCCATTTGTTCTATCAATTGAGTACAAGAAACTGCCTACTTACCAATTTCAACTACCCCATAAAGTGTTCAGAAATTGGCAATTTGGCCGATTTCATACAAATTTCAAAAGATGCCAATTTCAAAATAGGGTCCAGAATAAACAGTGCAGACATTCCTGGCACTAAAATAACATTTTATCTGTTCATTAGTCATGTCTCCAGGCCCCTCTTATGTTACTCTTTCTTTCCATTTTGAATTTTTATTCACACAAAAAACAGAAGATTTACTGTTATGCAGATTACTGTATTATTGTAATAATTGTATAAATAATGTCAACACATTCATGACTGCGTATTAGACTGGCAAGTTGGACACGTATCGGACGGTGACGTCATTTGTTTACTCTTGAACATCAGCAAAAATCGAACATTTCTGTTACTTTGAGCTCAATTCAAGGTACTTTTCATCGTGAAACTAATCAAAATCATCTCTATTTCTATAATATATCTTCAATTCTATCAACTCAGTCCAAGAAAACAAGAATACAACCATAAATATCATACAAAAATACACCTCAAAGCCGGCTTTTTAAACCAAAAACACTGTCAATTTTTTTTTTTCTCATTATGTACTGTGTGCTGCAGGATTTTTTTTTATACTGCACACACTGACCACACACACGCCCATTCTCTCATGTAGGTCTACCAGCTTTCTCCCGCTAGATTTGAAGCCGCTAGAATTTTGGCGTATTAATACGGCACCAATACTGACTTATAAGCCATACTAATACGACACCGAAAGTTAAAGGTTAAGTGAGGAGAGGCTGTATATAAAAATTTTACTTGTACTGATGGCAGTTTGAAGAGCTTTAAACTGTAGTATGTTTATACAGTATTTTAAAGCAATAGTAGAATACAGTGGACCCCCGCATAACGATTACCTCCGAATGCGACCAATTATGTAAGTGTATTTATGTAAGTGCGTTTGTATGTGTATGTTTGGGGGTCTGAAATGGACTAATCTACTTCACAATATTCCTTATGGGAATAAATTCGGTCAGTACTGGCACCTGAACATACTTATGGAGTGAAAAAATATTGTTAACCGGGGGTCCACTGTATTTTTATTCTGAAATTAATGTTTTTATTCAAATTAGGTTTAATACTCTTTAAATGCTGATTTCATAGCTTTTCCAAATCTTGGAAATGCACCAAAACATTGTCTAATGCTAGTCTAATTGCAAATTTAATAAAAATTTAATAGGTTTGAATTTTTGGCTCTGCAAATTTGTGGATGACGATGGTTAATTTTCAGCTATGAATATTTGTTTTATTTCAGCTCTGAATGCTTTAATGTAATGATATTTTTTTATTTTTGCACTAGTTTTACAGTCCAAGATCTTACCTGTTATCTCAGCTCATTTTAAAGCCCAGCTCTATCTAAGGTATACTACAACCTCTTAGTATGTGACCCACAATAGCTGACTATCAAAAAAGAGCAACGGGTGTAAGGAAACATTCCAAACATTTCCATCGACACCGGGGATTGAACCACAGACACTCATTATGTGAGCTAAGTGCATGCGTTGTCAGCAAAACCACTTTCAATAATTTTCGTACTGTATGTAGGCACATGTTATTGCTGACTATGAGAAAATCCAACTCTGTACATTACTAGTAAGCTGAAGTATAAAAGTTTTTTTGCAGGTCATATCTGGTGCATGGAAAGGTTATACAGGAAAGGCCATAACAGATGTGGTCAATATTGGAATTGGAGGCTCAGATCTTGGTCCCTTGATGGTATCAGAGGCACTTAAACCCTATGCTATTGGACCCAACGTACACTTCGTTTCCAACATAGATGGCACACACATGGCAAAGACTCTGAAAGTAAGTGTATTTGAGTTTCATGAAATTTATAAGTGTTCTAATTTTTTCTTGGTACCTAACACAGTTTAATGGTGAATAAGAAAAATTAAACTCCACGGGAAGCGAAAAAAAATTCTTCCTCCATAAGCCATGTGTGTCGTAAGAGGCGACTAAAATTCCAGGAGCGTGGAGCTAGTATCCCCTTCTCCTGTACAACTTACTAAATTTAAAAAGAAACACTTTGTTTTTCTTTCTAGGTCAGCCTGCCTCGGTGGGATATAGCCGGTTTGTTGATTTTTTTTTTTTAAATGCTAACAGATACTGTTTCCTTCAGATTTTGAATGCTGAGACGACACTTTTTATTATTGCTTCAAAGACGTTCACAACTCAAGAAACCATTACTAATGCTACTTCTGCCAAGAACTGGTTCCTTTCAACTGCTAAAGATGTAAGTAACTTTGCTATCTCATTGCTGTGGTGTTGTACAAGTAAAAAGACAATAAAAGTGGGATGAGGGGTGAAGTTTCATGTTATTCGGCTGTATACTGTGCTTGAGAATAAAAAATTGCTGAGTGTATTTGGGAGGTTGTTGACAATGAATCATAACACTTTCAAAAAATATTTAAAAATCATTACTGATTACAATAATGGCTTCAGCTTTGGAATTGTGCATCAAGAGCACATTTTGATTGACAAGACATCTTTTTAACAGGTTTTAAAAGTTGAAGTTTTATAAGTTTTCTGTAACACAGACTATTATATAAGGTGACTATTATATTAGGTACTATTATTTCTACAAAGTTAGCATTTGTGTGTTATTACTTGCTCCTTTTAAAATATATCTGCTTATGGTGTCCCAACTTCATTTTTTGTTTTTTCCGAATAATTTTTAAATTATTAATCCTTGTTATACAAATCATTTTCTTGGAGCCTGTTCTATTCATTTAAATGCATACTTCGCAAATAAGGCACTTCCCTTTAGAGCGCTTTACTAATACGGGCTTTTCACTTAGTATAGTCATGTTTATTATTTCCATTGCTTGCCTTTCTCTCAAAATGGCTTACAGCATTTTTACTTTTGTATCATTTTTTTTAGACTTAATTCTATTGCATACTTAACAAATGATAGTGTTTTTAGGCTTTTATATGCACTGGCAAGTGACAAAAAGGCAGTGATTTGCTTTATGGTGGTGGTCTGGAACCTAACCTGCTGTATTAGTGAGGTATGCCTGTACTATATTTATAAAGAAATAATGATTTTCTTTCAAAGCATTTGCATAGTGTATGATAGTTTCATTTGTCTTCTGTTGCCTGTTTCAAAAAATTAAGTTTTTGTGCTTTTGTTGTCTTGCATTAGGAACCTAGCTGCATTCCTGGATCTACAAATAGGTATAGTATGTAATTATAAGTAAGTAGTTCATTATGGTACATACATTTTGTATTATAATTATGTTTTCAGGCTTCAGCTGTTGCCAAGCATTTTGTGGCCCTCTCAACCAATGGTCCTAAAGTGAAGGATTTCGGAATTGATGAGGCTAACATGTTTGGCTTCTGGGACTGGGTTGGTGGACGTTATTCTTTGTGGTCTGCAATTGGTCTGTCTATAGCCTTGCATGTAGGCTATGACAATTTTGAGAAGCTGCTGTCAGGAGCTCATTTTATGGACAATCACTTTAAGACTGCTCCATTGGAGAAAAATGTAAGTATAATTTACAAAATGTATTGACTAATGAACAGAAAAAATTTTAGCGACTGGAATGTGTCTTGTTTATTCTGGACCCTATTTGGAAATTGGCAAAATTGCCAATTTCTGACCACTTTATTGGATAGTTGAAATCGATAAATGGGTGGTTTCTTGTACTCATTTGATAGAAAAAATGGAGTTCTAGCGAAATAGTTATGATTTTTGTCGAATGGTACATTGGAATTGGCCAAAAATAGGGCTCAAAGTGGGCAAAATCGCCGATGCGTAAACCTCGTTGAGACCGCTAACTTCGCTAGAGCATACTTCCATAAGTTTTCTATCAAATTTCACATTTTTGGTGTCGTTATGATCGGGAAAAGATTCTCTATCATCTCTAAGTTTTTTTTTTTTTTTTTTTTTTTTTTTTTTTTTTTTTTAAACCTTGAGAACAAGTTTAGGAGAGGAGCTGTCGACCCTGAAAGGGTTAATACTGCTGCACTGTACTTTGTATTATTATTTTCTTAATTTAAATTGTTACCCCAACAATAAATATGTTCAGTAGTCCAGTTTGGTATAGTTTTGTCTTTAATTTTTTGCAGATCCCAGTAATTATGGCAATGCTTGGTGTGTGGTATCATAACTTTTATGGTGCTGAGACTCATGCACTTCTACCATATGATCAGTATCTCCATCGATTTGCTGCTTACTTCCAACAAGGTGACATGGAGTCGAACGGAAAGTAAGTTTAATGCATTAACTCTTGTGAAGGGGTGGGGATGAAGAATGGGTTGGAGAACATCTCTTGCTATTGATTATATTCACTTAAATCTAGAATAATTTATTTTAGCTATTCTTATTATAAATATAAATACTGAAAAATTATTTAGAGAAGAAGTCAAGGTTTGGATTATTGTAAAGCTTGAAAAGGTGTTAGTAAAGCCCCAGTTTTACTTTTTGTTTTGGAACAAGAAAAGCTTAAAGCTAATCATTTCAGATAAATAGGATACATAGTTTTAGTGTGATAATGTTAGATCAGAGTGAGTAGAGACAAGTGGTGTTTGAGACTTGTTGTGCTACTGAAGTGTCAACAAAATAACAAAGGAATTTAGGGAAACAGGTTAGTCTGACTTCAGTCCTAGAGGCAGGATAGTGCCTGAGCTTTGGTTGAAGGGTTGGGATGTTGTGGTTCAGGTCATTCTGATTGTGACTGATACACACTTCTAGCAAGATAGCTGTTGAATGAATACTGGAGAATGTGTTTCCTTCCAGATTGGTAACAACCAATCTGGTAAAAATCTAAAATGCAGTGAGATGCCCAAATATATAAAAAAAATTGGAGTGATTGATTAGAGAGATTGTTGCTTATAGTCAGAGGGATTTATTAATGTTTTTTAGCACACTGGCCGTCTCCCACTAAGGCTTGAAAAAGAAACACTTTCACTGTCATTTACACAATCACTGTCTTGTCAGGGGTGTGCAGCTATGACAGTTTAGATGTCCCTCTAAACAGCAGATATCCCACATCCCTCCTTTAGAGTGCAGGCACTGTACTTCCCAACTCCAGGACTCGAGAAGCTGTAAATATTTAGCTTTTTCATTATTTCCACAATGCTGTTTCTATTTCAGGTATGTAACACGTAGTGGCCGTACTGTGGATTATAAGACAGGCCCTATTGTTTGGGGTGAGCCAGGTACCAATGGCCAGCATGCATTTTATCAGTTGATTCATCAGGGTACCCGTCTCATCCCTGCTGACTTTATTGCTCCAGCAAAGTCCCACAATGCTATTGCAGATAATGTCCATCACAAGGTTGGCTATGCTTATACAGGTCGACCATCACTAATCCGGCATCATTGGGACCATTAAATTCCTTAAGAAACTCGTGTACTGGTTCTGCCAGAGTTAACTGCACTCAGCAGGCGTCTTATGAAATGGGTGTGATACTTATGCTAGCCGAAATTTATGCCGGATTGGAGATGGAACTGGATTGGTGTTGCTGGATCAGTAATGGCCGACCTGTATTATAATGTTACTCTTGATATAATTTTTTTGCACAGTTTAATGTACAGCCTAAGAGTTATCCTACCTTGATTCATTTCCAAGGCCACCCCTATCTGAAGTACGTACTGTATATTACTACTCTTTTTCATGGTGTGACCCACAACATTCTATTAATGCCCAGGTAACTATTTAGTGTAGATCAATAGGGGCAGCAGGTGTAAGGAGACTTGCCCATGTCTTACCCTGCTTGGGAACCAAACCAGGTCCCTTCAGCTTTTCTTTTTAATTTATGCCACTTTCACATACAAATATTCAACAGAACTACTTAATATTGCCTGAATTCTCTCATGATTTTGTTTTTATTGAAATTTTATTGTCATATATACAGGTAGGTTCCGCTCTTATACAGCAGGTCACGTTCTGAGCTACTGCTATAAAGTGAAAATCGCTGTAAAGTTAAATGTAGCCTTTTTTTTACTTTCTGATGCATATAAAACCTGATGACATGTTTGCATTATCATATATTAAGCGAGGAATAGAGCTAAGCCTAAAAAAAATTCATATATAGTACACTTTTTTTTATTAACACATCGGCCATTTCACACCAAAGCAGAGTGACGCAAACAAAACTTTCATCATCATCTTTCACTCCATTACTGTCTTGCCAGAGGTGTGCCTACACTACAGTTAAAAAACTGCAACATATCAACACCTCTCCTTCAGAGTACAGGCACTGTACCTCTCACCTTAAAATATTTTCATCCTTAGCTTATAATGAATAGTGAATATATTTATTGTACAAAGTCTGAATAAATGAAGAATGGGTATAATTGAAAACTGCTACATTATTGAAACACTGTTAAGCAAGGCTGTTTTGTACAGAATTTTATAAATAGTTTTTATACTTTACAGTTACTGCTGGCCAATTTCCTTGCACAAACAGAAGCTCTAATGAAGGGAAAGACCACAGAAGAAGCAAAAGCTGAACTGGAAAAGGCAAACTTGCCAGCTGATAAGTTACAGCGCATCTTGCCCCACAAAGTATTTGAGGGCAACCGTCCCACCAACTCCATCGTGGTCGAGCAAGTGACACCTTTTACGTTAGGGGCATTGATTGTTATGTATGAAATGAAAATTTTCACCCAAGGCGTAGTCTGGGACATAAATTCCTTTGATCAGTGGGGGTAAGTATTTATGTATTATTACAGTACAAGAGTCTGAGCATGTGTTAAACCCTACTCAAAACTGTATGTAATAAGGCTTCTACCCTAATGACATAATGTACATTAACATCTTGTGGAATCTTTGTGGAGTAAAATTATACTTTGTATTAATGTACTGAAATTTTTGTTTTTACCCATATCCTTTTTGAAGTATAAAATGTATTACAGTGGAACCTCAAAAATCGACCTTAATCCGTTCCAGGAGCTAGTTCTAAATTCGAAAAGTCTGAAATTCGAAGCAATATTTCCCATAAGAAATAATGGAAATACAATTAATCCATTCCAGAAACCCAAAAATATTCACAAAAATAATACATTTTATAGAGATTAATTACAGTTTTACATACACACAACAAATGCATAGTATAGTCTTTAATTATGTATAGTAATATAAAATAACATTTTTACTTACCTTTATTGAAGATTGGTGATGGCATCTGGAGCCATTGGACTCAAGTCTCACAAAATAACTGTCTACAGTCCTCTGTTTCTGTCTCACAAAATAACTATCCACAGTCGTCTGTTTCTGTCTCACAAAATAACTGTCCACAATCGTCTGTTTCTCACAAAATAACTGTCCACAATCGTCTGTCTCACAAAATAACTGCCCACAGTCGTCTGTTTCTGTCTCGCAAAATAACTGTCCACAGTCGTCTGTTTCTGTCTCACAAAATAACTGTCCACAATCGTCTGTTTCTGTCTCACAAAATAACTGTCCACAATCATCTGTTTGTCTCATAAAATAACTCCACAGTCTGTTTCTGTCTCGCAAAATAACTGTCCACAGTCGTCTGTTTCTGTCTCACAAAATAACTGTCCACAATCGTCTGTTTCTGTCTCACAAAATAACTGTCCACAATCATCTGTTTGTCTCATAAAATAACTCCACAGTCTGTTTCTGTCTCACAAAATGACTGTCCACAGTCGTCTGTTTCTGTCTCACAAAATAACTGTCCACAATCGTCTGTTTCTCACAAAATAACTCCACAGTCATCTGTCTCACAAAATAACTCCACAGTCGTCTGTTTCTGTCTCACAAAATAACTGTCCACAGTCCTCTGTACATCCTGGCAAGCTCAACGAGTCTCACTCCAATCTCATACTTCTGTATTATTTCCTTCTTCACATCTATGGTGTTTCTCACTTTCTTTACCACAGGGGTACTGCTAGCAAGTTTCTTTGGGCCCATGGCAGCTTATTTCACAGTCCCACAAGCACTAAACACAACGAAATCATTGTAAAATGTGTGAATGAGAGTGCAGGTTAGTGTTAACTCAAGCATAAACAAAGCTAGACTGCTCACGGCGCCTGTGCGGGGACGTGGACAGAGCGGGCCAGCGGACAGGTCCCGTACACGGCGGTCCGAAATTTGAAACGCGTTCGATTTTTGGTACACAGTTTGTCCGAAAAAATGGTCTTATTTTCAAAACGTTCGATATTTGGTACGTTCGATTTTCAAGGTTCCACTGTATAGTAGATTACAGTATAGATGAATATATTTGCTTACACTTAGGTCACATTTTTATAGAGGGGCAACTGATATATCGGATCATTATTTAGTTGTAGCTACAGTTAGAGTAAGAGGTAGATGGGAAAAGAGGAAGGTGGCAACAACAAGTAAGAGGGAGGTGAAAGTGTATAAACTAAGGGAGGAGGAAGTTCGGGTGAGATATAAGCGACTATTGGCAGAAAGGTGGGCTAGTGCAAAGATGAGTAGTGGGGGGGTTGAAGAGGGTTGGAATAGTTTTAAAAATGCAGTATTAGAATGTGGGGCAGAAGTTTGTGGTTGTAGGAGGGTGGGGGCAGGAGGAAAGAGGAGTGATTGGTGGAATGATGAAGTAAAGGGTGTGATAAAAGAGAAAAAGGTAGCTTATGAGAGGTTTTTACAAAGCAGAAGTGTTATAAGAAGAGCAGAGTATATGGAGAGTAAAAGAAAGGTGAAGAGAGTGGTGAGAGAGTGCAAAAGGATAGCAGATGATAGAGTGGGAGAGGCACTGTCAAGAAATTTTAATGAAAATAAGAAAAAAAATTTTGGAGTGAGTTAAACAAGTTAAGAAAGCCTAGGGAAAGTATGGATTTGTCAGTTAAAAACAGAGTAGGGGAGTTAGTAGATGGGGAGAGGGAGGTATTAGGTAGATGGCGAGAATATTTTGAGGAACTTTTAAATGTTGAGGAAAGGGAGGCAGTAATTTCATGCACTGGCCAGGGAGGTATACCATCTTTTAGGAGTGAAGAAGAGCAGAATGTAAGTGTGGTGGAGGTACGTGAGGCATTATGTAGAATGAAAGGGGGTAAAGCAGCTGGAACTGATGGGATCATGACAGAAGTGTTAAAAGTAGGGGGGGATAGTGTTGGAGTGGTTGGTATTTTTGTTTAATAAATGTATGAAAGAGGGGAAGGTACCTAGGGATTGCCAGAAAGCATGTATAGTCCCTTTATATAAAGGGAAGGGGGACAAGAGATTGTAAAAATTATAGAGGAATAAGTTTACTGAGTATACCAGAAAAAGTGTACGGTAGGGTTATAATTGAAAGAATTAGAGGTAAGACAGAATGTAGGACTGCGGATGAGCAAGGAGGTTTCAGAGTGGGTAGGGGATGTGTAGATCAAGTGTTTACATTGAAGCATATATGTGAACAGTATTTTGATAAAGGTAGGGAAGTTTTTATTGCATTTATGGATTTAGAAAAGGCATATGATAAGAGTGGATAGGGGAGCAATGTGGCAGATGTTGCAAGTATATGGAATAGGTGGTAAGTTACTAAATGCTGTAAAGAGTTTTTATGAGGATAGCGAGGCTCAGGTTAGGGTGTGTAGAAGAGAGGTAGACTACTTCCTAGTAAAAGTAGGTCTTAGACAGGGATGTGTAATGTCACCATGGTTGTTTAATATATTTATAGATGGGGTTGTAAAAGAAGTAAATGCTAGGGTGTTCGGGAGAGGGGTGGGATTAAATTATGGGGAATCAAATTCAAAATGGGAATTGACACAGTTACTTTTTGCTGATGATACTGTGCTTATGGGAGATTCTAAAGAAAAATTGCAAAGGTTAGTGGATGAGTTTGGGAATGTGTGTAAAGGTAGAAAGTTGAAAGTGAACATAGAAAAGAGTAAGGTGATGAGGGTATCAAATGATTTAGATAAAGAAAAATTGGATATCATATTGGGGAGGAGTATGGAAGAAGTGAATGTTTTCAGATACTTGGGAGTTGACGTGTCGGCGGATGGATTTATGAAGGATAAGGTTAATCATAGAATTGATATGGGAAAAAAGGTGAGTGGTGCGTTGAGGTATATATGGAGTCAAAAAACATTATCTATGGAGGCAAAGAAGGGAATGTATGAAAGTATAGTAGTACCAACACTCTTATATGGATGTGAAGCTTGGGTGGTAACTGCAGCAGCGAGGAGACGGTTGGAGGCAGTGGAGATGTCCTGTCTAAGGGCAATGTGTGGTGTAAATATTATGCAGAAAATTCGGAGTGTGGAAATTAGGAGAAGGTGTGGAGTTAATAAAAGCATTAGTCAGAGGGCAGAAGAGGGGTTGTTGAGGTGGCTTGGTCATTTAGAGAGAATGGATCAAAGTAGAATGACATGGAAAGCATATAAATCTATAGGGGAAGGAAGAAGGGGTAGGGGTTGTCCTCGAAAGGGTTGGAGAGAGGGGGTAAAGGAGGTTTTGTGGGCGAGGGGCTTGGACTTCCAGCAAGCATGCGTGAGCATGTTAGATAGGAGTGAATGGAGATGAATGGTACTTGGGACCTGACGATCTGTTGGAGTGTGAGCAGGGTAATATTTAGTGAAGGGATTCAGGGAAACCGGTTATTTTCATATAGTCGGACTTGAGTCCTGGAAATGGGAAGTACAATGCCTGCACTTTAAAGGAGGGGTTTGGGATATTGGCAGTTTGGAGGGATATGTTGTGTATCTTTATGTATATGCTTCTAAACTGTTGTATTCTGAGCACCTCTGCAAAAACAGTGATAATGTGTGAGTGTGGTGAAAGTGTTGAATGATGATGAAAGTATTTTCTTTTTGGGGATTTTCTTTCTTTTTTGGGTCACCCTGCCTCGGTGGGAGACTGCCAACTTGTTGAAAAAAAAAAAAAAACTTAGGTCACAATGATTATGTATGAGTGGGGTGAAAGTGTCAAATGATGATGAAAGTATTTTCTTTTTGCGGATTTTCTTTCTTTTTGGGTTACACTGCCTCAGTGGGAGATGACCGATGTGTTAAAAAAAAAAAAAGCTTAGGTCACACTACACATGCATGTACAAGCATATGTATACACACCCCTCTGGCTTTTCTTTTATTTTCTTACTTGTTCTTGTTCTTGAATTTTATTTTCACTTATCTCCATGGGGAAGTGGAACAGAATTCTTCCTGTATATGTCATACGTGTTGTAAGAGGTGACTGAAATGTTGGGTGGAAGCCAGAGACTAGTAACCCTTTCCCCTGTATGTGTTACTAAATTTCAAAAGAGAAACTTTAGTTTTTCTTTTTGGGCCACCCTGCCTTGGTGAGATATGGCTGGTTTGTTAAAGAAAGAAAATATATTTGCTGTTTGGAGCAACATCTGAACTGTCATATCTGCATGCCTCTGCAGAGACAATGATTGTGTGAATGATGGTGAAAGTTCTTCTTTTTTGGGTCACTGCCTTGGTGGGAGACAGCCAGCATGTGAAAAAAAGAAAATTGTGTCAAAGATTGTGATATTAATTTTTATTTTACCTTTTGTATATTTTTTTTTTTAACAAGTTGGCCGTCTCCCACCAAGGCAGGGTGTCCCAAAAAGAAAATACTTTCATCATCATTCAACACTTTCACCTCACTCACACATAATCACTGTTTTTGCAGAGGTGCTCAGAACACAACAGTTTAGAAGCATATACGTATAAAGATACACAACATATCCCTCCAAACTGCCAATATCCCAAACCCCTCCTTTAAAGTGCAAGCATTGTACTTCCCATTTCCAGGACTCGAGTCCGGCTATATAAAAATAACCGGTTTCCCTGAATCCCTTAACTAAATATTACCCTGCTCACACTCCAACAGATCGTCAGGTCCCAAATACCATTCGTCTCCATTCACTTCTATCAAACATGCTCATGCACGCCTGCTGGAAGTCCAAGCCCCTCGCCCACAAAACCTCCCTTACCCCTTCCTTCCAACCTTTTCGAGGACGACCCCTACCCCGCCTTCCTTCCCCTACAGATTTATACACTCTCCATGTCATTCTACTTTGATCCATTCTCTCGAAATGACCAAACCACCTCAACAACCCTTCTTCAGCCCTCTGACTAATACTTTTATGAACTCCACACCTCCTAATTTCCGCACTCCGAATTTTCTGCATAATATTTACACCACACATTGCCCTTAAACAGGACATCTCCAATGCCTCCAACTGCCTCCTCGTGGTATATTTTTATTGCACTATAATGATACTATTAACATATTACACTCAATTTTTTTATTGGCAAAAAGTGTTGATGCACATAATTTTATAAATAGTACATAATGCCCATTTATTATTAAAATATTGTTTGGGGGTTTCTTTCACCTGCCTTTTCTGCTAATGTCTTGGTTAAGTAACAGATACTAAGAAATAGTTATCCCACTTTCAGCCATATCTTGCCCCTCCTACCTTTTTGCCACAGTTGTCACTCGTGTAAAAGCTAGAAGAATCTTTCCTCTATAAAAATAAAAATAGTAAGCTGTAGTAGCACTATTAATCTGCTCCATACCCTGGTAGAAGTAGTGAATTTATAACTTAAATTTTTGCATCTTTCCGACTACTTTAAGTGTACAATTTTTCTCACAATCCTTCCTTGGATGCTCCCTACACCTTCCAACCCTTTTCCAGACTTTCCCTACAACCACCATACCTTTCTGAAACATTCTCTATACCTTACAATAGTCTCTTGGATATCCGCTACACTGTTTTCCAACCCTTTGAGCTTTTGCTACATTAACTTTGAACAGTTCCTTGGTGCCCCTGACACTTTTCTCTGTGCAACCATTCCACACAATCCCTATAATATCTTCCATGCAGTTTTTCCTTGGATGGCTTCTATGCTGCCTTCCATGTACTCATACCTTGCACTGTTTCTATGCTGCATTTCATCTACCCCTTCTACTAAGTTTTTTATTCTTTTTAAAATCCTAGCACCCTATCTCTCAATTTTTTTTATTTTCCTCTTCATAATTAGATTTTTAATGCCTCCATTCTCCTCCTTGCTGCTATATTCAAAGATCGTACTTAACATTTTCTTAGTGAAAAAAATTGCTATCATAGTAGTTCACAACACATTCACTGTTAGTACAGTGCATGTGATGTAATGGGGCTTTGATTGTAATATTACATATTTCATATTCAATCCAATATTTTTATCCCTGTAGTGTGGAACTCGGCAAGCAGCTGGCTAAAGCCATCGAGCCAGAGCTACAGGACAAGACTCCTGTATCATCACATGATTCATCTACCAATGGATTAATCAACTTCATCAAAAACCACCTCTAATTGTTTGTTATATTAAAGTCTTTGATTTGGTGATAATTATTCTGGTCATAATAATGCATTGGATTATTGTTGTTAGTGTCTTAGACCAATTTAAAAATATTATTTGCTATAGTGCCTGGTATTACTTAGTCATCATATGAGTACTGAATGTAAATTCTAGGCATTCCATTAAAACAAAGCACATCCCCGACTGCCATAATTTGCCTGGTGAGAGGAATGTAATAGTAATTAGTAAGGAAGTGAAATTTCATATGTTAATGAAGTGTCAGTGTTTTACTGGTACCTGTATTGCAATTTTCCTTTTTGCATGTAATACTCAGGTGGCATTGGAATATTCTGTAATAAAGATCTGGAATTAGTAATCGGCACATATTGCAAGATTGGTGAGCATGAGCCTGTTCAGTGAATATATAGTGTAGATTATTGTTTGGTGAATATTTTACGGAGGTGCATAGATGTCAATTTGTGAATATAATTAATGCAATACCTTTAGTTTAGTAATTTTGTTAAATAAGGGATTAGTGAATATGGATGTATATATCTAAAATAGATTCGGCTTCATGAAATTATTTTAAATAGGCGATCTCAAATATTTTAGTCTGGGTTTAGTGCTGAGTCTGATTACATTATTATTATGATTATCAAATATTTTAGTATTAAAATTATATTTTTGAGTTCATGTTATTAATACAAATTAAAGTGTAATATTGCCATTTGTTGATTTTTTGTAAATTATCCTTCATATCTTAGATGTTGCCAGAATTTTTTTTTTTTTTATGTTAGCATTTAAAGGAAAGACTGATACAAAGAGACTGAATATCAGTTAATGTAATTTACAAACTTGAGAAGGGGATTATTCTGTAAATACCTTTGTTTCAGAATTCATTACTGCTCTCAGTCCCATCCACTGAATTTGAGATCTGGTACATAGTTATTATAAACATGTACTTTTTAGGCAGTCTTTGTCCAACAAGCAAAAATGATCTAAAAGTAGATATTTTGAAAGCTTTCTTTTAAGCATTGATATCAATATTTTTGCAAATTAACATACTCAGATATTAAATTTTTCACTGAAACTAATGTAGCAACCACTTTGTTGTGATTATTTTTTATTAATACACTTTGTCTCCCACCAAGGAAGGGTGACCTGAAAAAGTAGTACTCTCACCATCCCTTACTCTGTCACTGTCTTAACAGAGGTGTGCTGGTGCTACAGCTTGGATGACCCTCCAAATTGCATTATTCCTACCCCCTTCAGAGTTCAGGCATTGTACTTCCCACCACTAGGACTCGGAGTCCGGCTGACCTGTTATCCTGACTCCCTTCATAAATGTTATCTTGCTCACGCTCCAACTGCATGTCATCATACAAGCACTTGCCTTCGCTCACATGTCTGTTTGATATTCATTTCTATGGAATCCATCATATTTCCAGCTTAAATTAATTTTGTGATGTTCAAACTGATTTTTGCAAAGGCTTTTCAACAGTGATTTCTAATTACTTGTTTAGCAAAATGACTGCTGCTTTATAATCCAAAATAACAAACTCTGCCTAAAAAATTGCAATAAACAGACCGCAGAGGAAGCACTCGGTGAGGATTGTGAAGTTTTGATAACACGGACATCTTCACATTAATAACTTCAGTGTGTCTTGACGCATGTAATGCGATGTCTATCATAACTTCTCAAAAGATTTTGCCTTTTGGGGTGCATTGATGCCAGTGAAGGTTTTTTTTAATCTAAGGAAAAGGAGCTACCCTTCCTTTTCTTGAGTCAAACCTGATTACCTCCATCCTTACCTGGTGGTGGTTTGAAAGTTTTAATGTGCACCACATACCCATCCTGTGGGTGTTAAAAAAGATTCAAAGCCCATAAATGGGCTCAAGGATTGGGCTCTGCCTATAGTGGATAGACACATTTTTATGGGTGGGAAGGGTATCTTGAAATAGCCTGCAGATGTCTTGGGCAGCTCTGGTTGGGGTTTCCATGCTAGTGAGGTTATGGTTGTCATGAGTAATCAAGTACTGCTTCCCAGTGTTTACTGTACATGGGCATCCATATACTTTTTATTCTCATTCCATTTGAGCTAGAAATGACCCTTGAAACTTCAAGAGTAATACCCTGATGCTGGTGAAAGGTTCGTCATTTAAGAATTTAAATTATTCTTCCATTCCTTTGATCAAGCCTGATTTACCTCCCATTCCCCAGGTGCTGTATGACCATCGTGGGTGATTTCTTCAGTGTTTTGTGACCCATACAGGTTTAATGTTCATGGTGATTATATTATTTGATTTCTTGAACTAAGCTGGTTTATTACACAGTATGAGCTATATGATTTATGGGTTTAGTGCTTTTCCTTAAATTTTTACACTCGGCCTTTCTCATGCTTCACCCCACCAGCATATGCCTGCCTTTTCCTGTCTCGTGCTTTAAATATAATAGTTTTGGTATGCCTTCTAGAAGGCAGGCAAGGCACTATGAAGCTTACAGATAGGAGTTTTTCCATGAATATAAACCTGTGAATATATTTCCTACAAATATAAGCTGTATGAATAGGGTCTTATGAATAGTAATCCCCATGTACATAATCTGCATGAATATAATCCTATGAATATAATCTCCTTTAGTAATTCATGAATATAATCCCTTGAACATCATAATCCTCATGAATATAATCCATTGAGCATCATAATTCTCGTGAATATAATTTTTTTTTTTTTTAACAAGGCCGTCTCCCAGCGAGGCAGGGTGACCCAAAAAGAAAGAAAATCTCCAAAAAGAAAATACTTTCATTATTCAACACTTTCATCTCACTCACACATAATCACTGTTTTTGCAGAGGTGCTCAGAACACGACAGTTTAGAAGCATATATGTATAAAGATACACAACATATCCCTCCAGACTGCTATCCCGAAACCCCTCCTTTAGAGTGCAGGCATTGTACTTCCCATTTCCAGGACTCGAGTCCGGTTACATAAAAATAACCGGTTTCCCTGAATCCCTTCATTAAATATTACCCTGCTCACACTCCAACAGATCGTCAAGTCCCAAATACCATTTGTCTCCATACACTCCTATCAAACACGCTCATGCACGCCTACTGGGAGTCCAAGCCCCTCGCCCACAAAACCTCCCTTACCCCTTCCTTCCAACCTTTTTGAGGATGATCCCTACCCTGCCTTCCTTCCCTTACAGATTTAAATGCTCTCCATGTCATTCTACTTTGACCCATTCTCTCTAAATGACCAAACCACCTCAAGAACCCCTCTTCAGCCCTCTAACTAATACTTTTATTAACTCCATGCCTTCTCCTAATTTCCACACTCCGAATTTTCTGCATAATATTTACACCACACATTGCCTCCAACCGCCTCCTTGCTGCTGCATTCACAACCCAAGCTTCACACCCATATAAGATTGTTGGTACTACTATACTTTCATACATTCCCTTCTTTGCCTCCATAGATAATGTTTTTTGTCTCCACATATACCTCAATGCACCACTCACATTTTTTCCCTCATCAATCCTATGATTGACCTCATCCTTCATAAATCCATCCGCCGACACGTCAACTCCCAAGTATCTGAAAACATTCTCGTCTTCCATACTCCTCCTCCCCAATATGATATCCAATTTTTCTTTATCTAAATCATTTGATACCCTCATCACCTTACTCTTTTCTATGTTCACTTTCAACTTTCTACCTTTACACACTCCCAAACTCGTCCACTAACCTTTGCAATTTTTCTCTAGAATCTCCCATAAGCACAGTATCATCAGCAAAAAGCAACTGTGTCAATTCCCATTTTGTATTTGATTCCCCATAATTTAATCCCACCCCTCTCCTGAACACCCTAGCATTTACTTCTTTTACAACCCCATCTATAAATATATTAAACAACCATGGTGACATTACACATCCCTGTCTAAGACCTACTTTTACCGGGAAGTAGTCTCCTTCTCTTCTACACACCCTAACCTGAACCTCACTATTCTCATAAAAACTTTACAGCATTTAGTAACTTCCCACCTATTCCATATACTTGCAACATCTGCCACATTGCTCCCCTGAATATAATCATAAATAAAATCCATGAATATAAAAGGCAGGTCACTCAAGGGAGGTGTTTATTCAGTTCTAATACCGATTATCCACAATGCATTCAGGCTTACCTCATTGTTTGTGGTAGTCTTGGACTCTCTTTAGTGCTCTGCAAGCTGTTAAAGAATTTAATTTGCCTCATCCTCTAGTTCTTTATATACAACTTTGGTTGCACCACATTTCTAACAAATACAAAGAAATTGTTTTCTGCTGGGTACTTGGGCATGTTGATATGTTGATGTTCAGGGCAATGAGCGGGTGGACTCTGCTGCATGATCAGCAGTACACAACCTTCCAGTTTCATATAGAGGTTTTGCATCCTCAGATTATTTTGCTGTAATTTCTAGCCGCCTTCACAGCTATTGGCAACAACGTTGGTCTGAACTGATTCATAATAAATTACACTGTTATCAAGCCAATAATGGTCTTCATATCATCAATGTTGTGGTTGGGAGACTATGCTTTCCTGTCTTCACATCTGGCACACGCTTCTCTCTCATGGAGAGGCATCCAGTTCCACTCTGCAAATTGTCCAGTTCCAATTTCTGTTAGCCATATTCTACTGGACTGTCTAGTCTATCAGTGAGCATGCAGAATTTACCTTCATTGTTGTCACCACTTTAACACCTTTACTTTTATCTTCCCTCTTCGCTGACGGCTCCACCTTTCACACAGACTCCCTCTTTGACTTTTTGACAGCAACTGACTTATTACACAACCTTTGATTTTACTTCCTTTAGCACTCTTCACTGACCATACAACCTCTATCCTGAAGTGCTGTATGACCCTGGTGGTTTAGCACTTAGTTTTGATTATAATAATCAAGGGAGGTGTCTCGATGCTGGTAAGGAACACTTGCTCTGAAGAATTGGACCCAGCCTCCTCCTCTTTGGACTGAATATAACTGCTTACCATTCTCTAGGCTTTGTGTGACCCCAGTGGGTTTAATTCTTTCCCCTAAATCTTTTATAACAAATGCTGACTAGCCTGCTGCTAGTGCTACTGAATGATGATGAGTAAATAGGAGTTTTCTGAGGCACTGGTGTTAGGACATGTACACGAGTAGCAGCAATAGCCTCATATATCTTAGGTGACACAAAATTGATGAGCAGACTTAGTTTATCTAGATCTGTTTTAGGAAGGACTCCCAAGAAGTTTTCGAAAGTCTTAAACCAGTGCTTCCATTCCTGAGCAGCCGTTGATAAGCTGGGGTCACAGTCTAGCCTCTCAGGTTTCAGTAAACGCTCCATGTTGTGATGTAGTCTAGCTCAGGATCACCACCAGGTAGCCCAGGATTATATGTTCAATAAATTACTATATGGAAGGCAGTTACAATGACATTGAAGTCGCGCAACCTACCTGTTCAACACTGGCAAACTGTCCTACCTGATGCGCTTCACTCTATTAGATCATTGTTGTGCACAGCTACTAATGCAACCCCTCATGAAAGACTCCTCAACTATTCACGTCGTTCCTCTACGGGAGCCTCCGTGCCCACTTGGTTATGTCATCCTGGACTCGTTCTCCTGAAGAGTCACCGTAGGATGAACAAGACGGATCCTCTAGTGGAAGAGGTAGAGCTCCTGCAAGCTAATCCACATTACGCCCA